GGATGTCACAGCAATAGAAGATGGTTGTGAGTTTCTAGCTTTCTTAAAACTCCTGTACTTCTAGCCTGGTTACAAACAGGTTGTGGACTAACATTAGCCCACAGGCCACACTGTGAGTGTCACTGTCATATTTAATCTTGGCAATAACCCTCTGAGAAATATACTACTCCCATCTCAACATTACAAAGAAACTGAGATACAATGGGCTTCCCAACCTTAAGAGCCCATGATTAGCAGGTGGCAGAACTTGAATCCAAACCCAGGCAGTGCCCAGAGGAGTCAGTATTTGTCCCTGGAAGGCTGACTCCAGAGCCTGTGCTCCTACCCATGTACTTGTGTAATTTAACTACACGTGAATGAGGAACAGTTCGGTTTAGGTCATTAGATGAGGATCTCCTCAAATACACCATCTACAGTCTACAAACCTTCATGCACACCCATTCTGCTCTCCTCTCCTGGTGATTAGGAATCACCAAGATTAGTGAGTCCACCCTATGTCTTTGGTTGTTCTTGGTCCATCCATCATCCCAAAGCAATGGTCCAAGGACAGGGACTGTATTCATTTCTCAGATGAAGGAAGTGAGATTCAAAGAGGTTGAAACACTTAGCCAAGCATGTAACTATGGCTATATGGATATAAGGTGACCGGAGCCCATTTTGTCAAGGATGATGCCAGTTTATTGTCCTGGCACCTTGGCTGGTTACTGCTTTCCTTTAACTATGAAGTGTTCCACTCTGGACAGTACATTCTTTGGACATTCACGCTGCTATTGAGTAGTAGAGAAAGAACTGACAGATCAGTGTGACTGATTTTGACGCCAGGGCTTTCTGTTATCCTAGGCTACCTTAGAATTTCAAAATTATGAAGTTGAGAAGATTTATTCTCAGTAATCAATTCATCCAGCAAACATTTACTAGGCACCACACCTCTTATGTGACAGACATGGTGCTGAAAGATGTAATTAAAAAATGAATAGGGCACAGTTCCAAGTTTTTTTCTCATGTGGTTTAGTGAGAAGACAAACCACGTATGAATACTCATAGTCAGTGAAGGCTACATAATTTACAGGACCCAGAGCAAAATGGAAAGAACAGAGTCCCTTGTTTAAAAAACAAGTATCTCAAGATGGTGACAACAGGATACTAACCAAGCATGGTTCAGTTTAGCAGATGAGAGGTGCTCAGGGTCTGACAGAAATCCGAGTTACCTAGGATGATGACTGATCTTAAGGTGACTTTCCGGAAGAGGTGACAACTGGGCTGACCCTAGAGAATGAGAATATCTCCCCTAGATGGAACTTCTCTGCTTTTTAGACCATATGTTATTGAGGAGAATGACTAAGTCATCATTTTGACTTAAATGTTAAGTCACCACCAGTTTTCTGTGACTGTACATCCTCCTCACCAACCACTGGAGCTGTGACACATGCTGTGGGGACATGGAGATGTGCTGTCCAGACCTCCCTTCAAGGACTCATTGCCCAGCTGCTGGAAGTGCTGCCAGTGGGCAACCTTAAACCACCAGCCCCTCTGGGGGCAGCCTCTGCGCAATGACCCATCCAGGTGGAGGTAAATAGGCCTGGTCATTGGACGTGTCAGGACAACCCTGAAGAGCCATCTTCACTTCACAGCTCCCACGGGGTCATCTAAGGTCACCTGGCCAGTGTTCCAGCTTGAATTTTTCCTCTGCTCTATCCCTCCTGATTCCACCAGCGCTGATGTTAGGGGCACCCCTAATAAACATTCCAGTACTAAATTCCAGTTTAGTGCAACCCAGAGAACCAATCTGCAACCAGTACAAAAAAAATCCCAGTATATGGGCAGGATTTTTATTTGAAAATTATGTATTTACATACTTGTAACATTTTAAAATCCCAAAATAGGATACAGAGTGGTGGAAACAAGGACTTTGTGTGACATATGGTTCTTCTTTGGCTCAAAATTCTTAATTTGATAAGGATGAAAGCACATATGCCACAAAGTTTGTGAATATTAATCTATGAATTTACTGAAATTTGCTAACCTTTTTAAAAATTTTTTGTTTTTGAGGGATGATGAAGTCTGTAACTTTTTAATGGAGGATATAAAATGGGATAGACTAGAGATTTCTTCAAGAAAATAAAGAGAAACTGAGGGAACACTTCATGCAAAAATGGGCACAATAAATGACAGAAATGGTATGGACCTAACAGAAGCAGAAGATATTAAGAAGATGTGTCAAGAATACATAGAACTATAAAACATATCTTCATGACCCAGATAACCATGATGGTGTGATCACTCACCTAGAGCCAGACATCTTGGAAAGAGAAGTCAAGTGAGCCTTGACTTCCTAAGGATGCTTCCTTAGGAAGCATCACTATGAACAAAGCTACTAGAGGTGATGGAATTCTAATTGAGCTATTTCAAATCCTAAAAGATGATGCTGTAAAAGTGCTGCACTCAATATGCCAGCAAATTTGGAAAACTCAGCAGTGGCCACAGGATTGGCAAAGGTCAGTTTTCATTCCAATCCCAAAGAAAGGCAATGCCAAAGAATGCTCAAACTACTGCACAATTGCACTCATCTCGCACACTAGCAAAGTAATGCTAGCCAGGTTTCTGCAAGCCAGGCTTCAACAGTAGATGAACCATGAACTTCCAGATGTTCAAGCTGGATTTACGAGAGGCAGAGGAACCAGAGATCAAATTACAAACATCCACTGGATCATCAAAAAAGCAAGAGTTACAGAAAAACATATACTTCTGCTTTATTGACTACGCCAAAGCCTTTGACTGTGTACATAACAAAATGTGGCAAATTCTTAAAGAGATGGGAATAGCAGGCCACGTTACCTGCCTCCTGAGAAATGTGTATGCAGGTCAAGAAGCAATAGTTAGAACTGGACATGGCACAACAGACTGGTTCCAAATCAGTAAAGGAGTATGTCAGGCTGTATATTGTGACCCTGCTTATTTAACTTATATGCAGAATAGATCATACTAAATGCTGGGCTGGAAGAAGCACAAGCTGGAATCAAGATTGCTGGGAGAAATATCAATAATCTCAGATATGCAGATGACACCATCCTTATGGCAGAAAGTGAAGAACTAAAGAGCCTCTTGACTAAAGTGAAAGAGGAGAATGAAAAAGTTGGATTAAAACTCAACATTCAGAAAACTAAGATCATGGCATCCAGTCCCTTCATTTCATGGCAAATAGAAGGGGAAACAATGGAAATAGTGAGACTTTATTTTTTGGGACTGCAGCCACAAAATTAAAGACACTTGCTCCTTGGAAGAAAAGCTATGACCAAGCTAGACAGCATATTAAAAAGCAGAGACATTACTTTGCAACAAAAGTCTGTCTAGTCAAAGCTCTGGTTTTTCCAGTAGTCATGTATGGATGTGAGAGTTGGACTACTGAGAAAGCCGAGCACCGAATAATTGATGCTTTTAAACTGTGGTTTTGGTGAAGACTCTTGAGAGTCCCTTGGACTGCAAGATCAAACCAGTCAATCCTCAAGAAATCAGTCCTGAGTATTCACTGGCAGGACTGATGCTGAAGCTGAAACTCCAATACTTAGGCCACCTGATGTGAAGAACTGACTCACTGAAAAAGACCCTGATGCTGGGAAAGACTGAAGGCAGAAAGAGAAGGGGATGACAGAGGATGAGATGGTTGGATGGCATCACTGACTTGATGGACATGAGTTTGAGTAAACTCCGGGCGTTGGTGATGGACAGAGAAGCCTTGTGTGCTGCAGTACATTGGGTTGCAAAAAGTCAGACACAACTGAGCAACTGAACTGAACCGATTTCCTTTAGTAACACATATTGTACTTATTCAGTTTCAATAAATGAACTTTGAAGAATTAGGTAATTTGGAGACTAAAATGGGTTGATTTATACAAACATGGATTTTGGAATTTTGTTTTGAATTTGAATTTTATTGGTTTTCCTCATTCCAAGTGAAAAATTTCCTTGATTTTAATAAAAGCTCATCCGTTCCCCATTAGTGAAATTACAAAGACACCTTCTCTTGAGATGTGGTATCCAGAATGTCATACACATTTCTAGGTAAAGATGTATTGAGAAAATATTACAAAATAGAATCATTGTGAAAGCTTGACTTACAAACCCAGGTGCTGAATCTAACACACTCAAGTCCTAAGATTCTGAACATCATTAAACTTCTCAGAATTTGATATGAAACAAATACTCAGATTTGAGAAGAGATGCTTCTAATATCTCTAGACAAACTATCCGAAAGAAAAACCCAGATTTTCATCAATTTGCATAAGGTCATATGTACCTTATGTAAAGGTACATATTAACATTTAACTCACCAAATCATCATAATACTTGGTCTAAATCACTGCCTTGTGGAATTGACTTCAATCATTTCTTCAGAAAACACATTTATGCTGTTATAGAAAGCAGTTAGCATTAGACTGATGTGCTTGTATCTTTCCTACCAGTGGGGATTAAAAAGGAGGGTGGGAGGAAACTTTTGGAGGTGATCGATGTGTTTATGGCATAGATGGTGGGGCTGATTTCATTGAGTGTGTACTATCTTCAAACTCTTCAAGTTGTTTACATTAAATATGTACAACTTTTGGTATGTCAATCATACCTCAATAAAGTGGTTAAAAAAATAAATAAAATCCAGAACCACTTGGATAGAATTGGTGAGACGAAGTAGGATTTATTTTGGTCATTTAGACAAAATACAGACCTTGAACTCTGTTTACCAAGAGCTTCACTTGAAGCCATTTGCTATGGGCTAGAAGACAACCCTTTAACAACTCAGCAAAAATAACTCCTCAGGTATATCTTATTCACCTTTAGATGACTGGACCGCGGCTTTTGAATGAGATTCTACAAGAAAAATGAGGCCGAGAACTTTCTTTTTACTTAACTCAATTGTGAATTATGACATGCAATAGTGAAGAAAATAAATGAAGAGCCCAACCAATATTCACCTAACCTCCGGCCAACAAGAGAATATTTTAAGTAACTCAGAAGCTGATTTTAAACACTATGATTTGATTGTAACTATGTCTGAACTTTGTGTAAAGGGAATCATAAATATTCTTTGGGGTCAGGCTTAAGTTTGTGTTGCACCTGGGTTGTTGATGTTCAACTGCTATCATTGCTAGGGGATATTCTATTGCATCACAGTCCATTTTCCTTCTGCTGTTGATCAGCATGTGGACAATGTCTAGTTTGTGGCTACTGGGAATTAGGTTTCTAAGAACATCTGTGAACAAGTGTATATCACTTGTACTCTGGAGCAGAATTAATGGATCTGAGGGTGTGCAGTATGAGTAAATGCTGTCAAATTGTTTTCCGAAGTTTTTTGTCAACATATACTTTTTTGCACATGCAGCAGTGCACAAGAGTTCCCACTGCTTCATCGGCACTCAATTCTTATTCTCAACCTTTTTAATTTTAGCTACTTTACGGGGTGTTTCGTGGTATCTCATTGTGGTTTTAATTCACATTTCCTTGGTAACTAATGAGACTGAACCCTTTTGCAGTTACGGTCATTTGGATATTCTCTTTTATGAAGGGCCTATTTGAGTCTCTTGTCCATTTCTTGGGCTTTCTGTGTTTTTCTTAATGAGTTTTAGGAGTTCTTTATTTCCTGTGTTATTGCTTCTCAGACTTCGGACTGCATTACAATCACCCTTAGGCCTTGGTAAGGCAACTGGGGACCATCGGTCCCCACCACCAGTGTTTCTAATTCAGTAGATATGGGACACAAGAATCAGCATTTCTAATGAGTTCCCAGGTGATGCTGCTGCTGCTGGCCTAATGACCACACTTTGAGAACATACGTGCTGTAGGTGCTTTAAATGTATCAGCAGTAGAGGTTTCTTGTTTGTCTGGGGCAAAAATCAAAACGCCAAACTCCCAACAATTTAATACTTGATTTAATCCTGCGATGTAAGCTATGACCTTCCCTTAACGGAAGGGGTACAGCTGGGCTTACTTCAGTAGTAACGATTTAAATCAGTGACACCCACCTCTCTGCATAGAGCATCTGGTGTACCTTTAGCCAAGGGTTGGGAACGGATCTCAAGGAAAATGGATCTCACATTAGCTTTCAATAGCAAGGACATGAAACAGACCTCTAAAAATGAAAACACAGATCTCTGAAGATGAAAACATTTATTTCGACTAAATTTTATAAGAACCATGACTACTACATAATTATTGGACTAAACATTAACTGTATTATTTCTAAATACAAACTACACTCAATGTATTTGGGTAGTTTGCTGAGTATGTGGTCTTTAAGGCTTGATTCTATTCTTGATTCTATCTGTTTCTCTCTGGTAAAGGGTCCAAATACCAGCTATCAGAAGGCATATTATATATAAACATATGCAATATGAGCATGGTTACGCCTAATTGCGAGGTCATGAGTACACTTAAAACCAGGGCAGTAACTTTAGTAACTTGAACTCAATACACCATACCCACCACCACTAAGAAAAGCTAAGGACCTACAGCTCAAATCAAGTACTGCAGGCCCTAGAAGTATTGTGGTTTGTTGATCTACTGATCTGAAAGATCTAGACAAAGTGCAATTAGTGGCCAGAAGTAAACTAATCTGGGCAGGCTCATGAAAGTGAACCTTCCTGATGCATCCTGAGAACATAGGGCATAAACATAGTCAATGTAGGCAACAGCTTTCTATTTTCCTCACACAGTCAGGAGAACCCATCCATGTAATTTAGACAGGATTTCAATGACGGCTAAACCAAAAGGCTTATGTCAGCAGACGGTCAATCGTCATGAGAAATCCAGATGCAATCACCACTACATACTCAGGAAAGCAGCATGGCCTTTTCGAAAATATCACCAGGCTGAATCTAAAACTGCAACAGGTCTATTAAGTCAGAGCCATGGACTCTAGAAGCTGATCAATGATCACTCACATGTCTATCATTATCAAATCCCCATAGAATGGCAATTTTCTGAAAGCATTCCTTTCTCTTCCACCCTCTTTCAGAAGATATAATGAAATACTGACCTTCATGTATTTTAACCATTTATCTTGGGGGGTGGGGAGGAGGGGCTCTCCTATGTAATGCCTCATATTAATTTCAACTAAAATGTATTTTTTGCTCTCCCTATTTTGTACTAGCTTAACCAGAGGTCTTTGGCGGGGAATAGGGGATCCTACTTATGTTAAAGAAAGTGGTAAGGCAAAATGGCAACTTCCAGAGTCTTCAAGTAAACAGAATCCCTGATATAACTGGAAAGGAATATGTAAGTTGGGGACAGTAAAAAACATCTATGACAACTTTGTCTTACACCTTAGAAAATGTGCTTTGGCTCTGAAGTCTCTTTAAGGCACGAAACCTGGTAGACAGCTTTTATTGGTGGCCTGTACCTCTGATTTAGATAAGACAAAAATACTTTTAACATATAAATAACAATAATAATGTTGTTAGAGCCTGAAACCACTGGGTGAAGTTGCAGGAAAAAATCCAAATGGACTAACATATTCTATGTGTAAATATCTGCTACTGGTATAAAAATAAGTAAAATGTACTTTACACAGTGCAAAAACTATTGGAAAAATGCCTCTGAACAGACTTGACGTCATAGTAGAATCACAGTGCTGTCTCAAAAATTGTTAAGGCTGAGGGCTGTCCACTGGAAGCGTTCATAACCACATGGCCATTGTGAGTAATATCTGGATAATTCCTCTTGAAGTACACCTGAAAAAAAAGGACAGGTATAAAAACATATTTAAAAGTTTTCAAGTCCTCCTCCCTAAGGTAGTGCATTTCTCTGTTTGCTTTTCATATGAAGCAGTCAATCATATCACTAGTGGAGACACAATATTAAAAACCAGGGATGTTATTTATTCTATGGAGGAAGTAGCCCCCATTAAAACCCTCAGTGGAGCTGGGCTTAATGCCAAACAACCTGTAGATCCACTACAGTTCTGATCATTCTGATCCACAGATATGTTTTATCAGTACATTAAACTGATAAGCAAAAATAATCTTACTGACTCAAAGCTTGGGGATAAATTAAAAACAGGGTGACAAAGAGGCTGGGAAATCTAGCGTCTACACGAGGCTTTCTCATTTTCACACATAAAATGAGCACAATCGATTTGGATGTTAATATCAGGTTGTAATCCCTATATTTTATAAACTCTGATTGACAAGCATTGAAATGCTGGCGTATATTTATGAAATATCCTGGCGTTTAATTTGTGCGGCAAAGCAGTTATAGGGCCTATAGAAATGTGATCTCTGGATAGTGGGTCCCAAGAATGAAAAGAGAATCAAAAGCTTTAACAATGACTCAACCAAGCAACTTCTCTAAAATGTAAGATGATACCAAATAATACGACAGTTCTTTGCCAGGCCTTTGAGTTCTTGAATTCTACCAATTTCTAGCTGAACTGGAAGAGATACAGGTTTTCTGATAAATGTATAATCAGAACACAAAGGAAATGAAACGCTGTCAAGCTTCTCTGTTCCACAATCATCACTTTTTAGTAGCTGTATCGTATCTTGGTTCCTTGACGGATACACATAACAAAATGAAATAATGTCAAGACTTGTGAGCTCTTATCTCCAAATGTGTTTAGGTGAAAAAGGGCTTCAAAAGTAATTTTTTTCCTCCAAGGAAGAATGTGAAAAGTTTTGTTTAAGTCTTTAAAACAGAAAATGTACCATCTATCCGAGGCTGACTCATGTCACGTGCTGGGTCGCTTAGACACATGATTCTTACAAAACCTCACTCTAAGTCCATTTGTGGATGCTGTCAACAAAGTTATCACCAGATATAGTGGGCTTCATATTTGAAACAGAAAAGCTCTGAGACACCTACCTACTTTCTTATTAGGTGTACTTTCCTTTTCTCTTATTGCCTGCATACTTGCTAATCGCAAAACCACACTGCATAAGAAATGCTCTATATTAAAATGTCACTTGAGGAGAAAAAGAAGAAATTCTCCAAGAATGCTTGGATCCCACTGGGTAAAATCTGAAGCTATTTCCATTATACTGTAAGCGTCTAAAAGTAAGGGTCTTGGGGGAGCTAACTGCATTTCATCTTCCTCCTCAATTTTTAAAAAAATTGCCACACTTGAGTTGTTATGTATTTATGTATAATGCTGCTAGTGAAACTGAAAACAGCACTCCCTCAAAGGAAATTAATTTCAATTTCTAATGCTTGATATACCACCCCATCAACTGGTTCTTTTCTCCATACCACTTGTCAATGTCACTTTTTATTAAAAAACTTTATTATTAGCAATTTTTAACCAAAATGGTCATTTCATGGTCTAAAATACTTAAAACTAAATGAAAACAAACTTCCTGTGCACATAACCTCCTTGATTTGACTTTTCATCTCTTACCCTGGTGTAGCCCACACTTTGACAGCAGGAGAGAGAGAGGGCATCTTTTTCACAGGGCAGGTTATGAAGGGAGTTGAGATAGCTGAACACTTGTTAGCAGAGTCCTAGTGGATGGGCTGAGCCTTGGATGCAGAAGCCCAGTCTCACCTCTCTCTCTCCTGGGACCACTGCTGACCCTGGAAAAATCATTTAAGCTCTCTCCACATCAGATGCCTGATTTGTGAAATGAGACAACGACCTACCTCATATGAACTAATTGATGGCTACAAACTGAGGATGAAAACAGGGTGAGCTAAATGTTGGGTGTGACTATGATGGTGCTCAGAGACAGGGCTGCTTAGCCCACGGAAAGTAGCAGCATCATCTGGTTTGAAGAATGAAAACAAAACATCTAGGAGTCCCTTGGTGAATCTTTTGATTTTATCATTACAGTAGGGCAGGCTTGCAGTTAATACACAGTTGGATCAATAAACATAGTAGCCCAAGAGACAGTAACCCAGGGCTTCCCTCATAGCTCAGCTGGTAAATAATCCTCCTGCAATGCAGGAGACCCTGGTTCAATTCCTGGGTCTTGAAGATCCTCTGGAGAAGGGAAAGGCTACCCACCCCAGTATTCTTGGGATTCCCTAGTGGCTCAGATGGTAAAGAATCTGCCTGCAATGCAGGAGACCTGGGCTCGATTCCTGGGTTTTGAAGATCCCCTGGAGAAGGGAAAGGGTACTCACTCCAGTATTCTGGCCTGGAGAATTCCATGGGGTGATAAAGAGTCAGACAGGACTGAAAAACTTTCACTTTCAGGAGGCAGAATGGTAATTAAAAGACTTAACACTTTCTAACCTGTGACTTTGAGAAGTTACTTAGGCCCTATTGCCTCATTTCTTGATCTGAGGAAAAACACTACCAGCTCAAAATGGTTTTAATGAAGATTAAAAAGACACAATGCCCCCCAAAAAGTTCAAATTCAGGGCAAGCAAAACGTTAAGACCAGTGAGTGTTGGGTTTCTTGAGACTTTTCATGTCCTACTTGGGTTTGGTTAATTAGAGACCCTCCAATTTACGTTGAAACAGTATTTCAACTCCAACTTGTAAACAAAGCTATAAACTCTCCCATGCATGGCTAAAGGTCAGCAATGGATGGTTCATAAATGTAGAGTTATGAGTCAAGACTCTGTCCATTCATTCTCACTGAACCGCATGGCCTTAGTTTAACCTCAGCAACCCTAACTCCACGTCTTTAAGTCAGGTCTAACATTAGTACACATCCTGGCAGGTGTATTATCAAAGTTATCTGGAGAATTAGAGAGGATTTCTTCTTTTCATTTAACACAATTTTGGATTTCCTCTTATCCTCTCGGAAATCACTCTCAGAAGCCAGGACACTGGAGATTAAAACGTGAGCTCAATATATGATGAAATCAGGAACGATTTGAAATCACAAATGGCAAAATATCTGAATGAATTGCCTTATGCAAATGGATCCAATGGGCTGCAGCCAGAGAGAAGGTACGTAAAGAGAGCAGATCTGAGAAATGATGCGAGAGCAGCTCTCCAACTACCTGGTGAATTCTAAGGTGCCAATGAGGAATCATAGAAAATTGCTGTCTGTCCCTAAAGCATGTCCTAGGTGAGGTCCTAGGACAAGAGAGATTCTGAAATACAATCAGCATTGTAGCTGCCCAACTCTACAGGTTAGGGAAAAGTTCAGGCTAAATAAATATGTACTCTCAGTTTCTCTGTCTCTCTAGCACAGACATGCTTACTCTCTTAATCTGGGTCATGGGGAACGATTCTGTTTTTATCAGAGGGAATTCCCTTAAGTCTGAAATGATGCACTAGTCACAAGTATCCAGCAAATATATGGTCTTAAAAATAACAGAAGTAAAAAGTGAGCAGTAGGAATAATAATAAATAAAAGGTAATATAATTTGTAAAAGAGAAAAAAAAGGAAAAGGAACAGGATAAGCACATGATGGAAGTAAGAAATACTCACTGAACAGACAAATATTATGAAAAAATAATATACTGAAAGAAAATGTAGTAGGATAATCAACCTGTAAACAACAGAGATCTGAGTACAATAAAACACGCAATAGTAACAAAAGATGAAACAACAAAGTGAAAGGGAAGATAAAGTAGGGAATGGAAAATCGGGGCTCTGTAACAACCTAGAGGGGTGGGATGGGAAGGGAGGTGGGAGGGAAGCTCAAGAGGGAGAAGACCTATGTAAACCTATGGCTGATTCATGTTGATGTTTTGGAGAAACCAACACAATACTGTAAAGCAATTATCCTTCAATTAAAAATAGGTTTAGAAAAGAGAAAGCAAAAAAAAAAGAAAAAGAAAAATGATAAATACTTTTTAGCCATTAAAAGAATGAGATAACTATACACATAGATAGTAATATTAAATGAAAAAAGGAATAGCTATCATCGTGCTTAAAAACAGGAAGGCCACATATGCACAAGTTCTTACTGATACACAGAACAAGTCAACAGAATAGTCAAAAATGGTACTGGGGCTCCACCCTGGGGGAGGAGCCCTGTAATGACAGGAACGGCAAAGTGACTTTTTAATTTATGAAGTGATTTTATAAATAAAATTTTAAAACCTATTATAAAACATAAGGTTTTTAAATCTTGTAGCATTAGATATATTATTTCTTTAAAAACTGATTATTAAAAATAAAATTTAATTATTTTCTGATGCTACTCAGAAGAACTGTGGGCACATTTTCTTATTGTTGGGAGGTAAGGGTTCAATATATATCCTTTTAAAAAGTGATCCCACTTTAGTGCTTAAGCATCTGCTCTCTCATCTGATCCCTGTAATGAGGGAAGAAGCCGGCAGGGCTGTAATCCTTGCTCTACACACAGGTGAGGACCTGAGGCTCAGAGACCTTGGGGGACACAAGGCCATGTGGATGCTAAGTGCCAACTCCATCTGTTCAGACTGGTCCAGGCTCCAAGATCTAGGATATGACGTTTCATAACTTTGGGTCGTATCTGGTGATAACATGAATAGACAAAATGAAATTTGTTACATACTGGGAACACAGAAACTTCAAACAACAAAATGAGAAAAAGAAAAAAAAAAAAAAAAGAAACAAACCCTCAATCAGGTCTGCTTCATCACAGAAGAAAATGAATGACAGGCAATAATCCTTTGTTATGTGATCAATTGGGTCCCCTCCAATTTTACATGTTGAAGTCCTAAATCCGCCAGTCCCCCAGAATGTCATTTTATTTGGAGAAAGGGTCTTTAAAGGGGTGATTCAGTTATAATGAAGTCATACAGGCGGGTCCTAATCTAACAGATCGCAGTCGTTATAAGAGGAGATCAGGACAGAGGGAAGACCATGTGAGGACAGAGAGAAGACGGCATCTCCAAACCAAGGAGAGAGACCTCAGGGGAAGCCACCCCTGCCAACACCCTGCTCTCAGACTTCCAGCCCCCATGGCTGGGAGGAAAGAAGCTTCTACTCTGTGGTTCTCTGTATGGCAATCCTAGCAAGCTAGTGCGCCACTCAAGTTTATGTAGCTAATAGGTACTTTCTTTACTATTTCATGGATCATCTAAGAGGGTCAATCAGTGATTCAGCTCGCCTGTACCAACATTTTCAGATGATCAACATCGAAGTCAAAAAAACGTGACTTGGAAGAATCCTTTCGCAGATGTTGAGTTTTGTTTTCAAATGAATGAATTCTGTTAGAGTGAAAAGCTTGTTGACTCAGGCTAATCCTCCTGGTGTTACAGCTCTGAAGTGTGCATTGATTTCTGATGCTTTTACATATTAAAAGTTGACAATCTGACAGCCTGTTCTCTTACGAGGACCAGGTATACGGAGAAATGATGTCAAGAAAATACTCAACTGGGATGGGAATCAGGATATGTATTTATGTCTTTCTGTAGAAAGTGTTAGTCAATCAGTCGTGTCCAACTCTTTTGGAACCCCATGGACTACAGCCTGCCAGGCTCCTCTGTCTGTGGAATTCTCCAGGCAAGAAAACAGGAGTGGGTTGCCAAGTCCTTCTCCAGGGGATCTTCCCAACCCAGGGATTGAACCTGGGTCTCCTACATTGGGGGCAGATTCTTTACCGTCTGAGGCACCAGGAAAGTGGTCTTTCTGTAAAGGTGACCGAAATCCAAGAGTAATGTTCTGCCATGCTATATGAACCCGGTATGATGGCCCCACCTTGGCTACCACGTGACAGGAGGAGCAGTGTTCTCAGATTTGACACAGAACACAGTATCTAAGGCTGCACTCAGCCTCCCCCAGCAACGCCCTCTCTGTGTTCCCTGGACCAGCTCTGTAACCTTGGATGGGCACTTAACCCAATCTCATCATCTACGACCTGGCATAAAAAGTAACCATCATCAGGATTAAGTGAAACCATACATGTGCAAACTCTGTAAAATAAATTATAAAAAAAACTATACAAACATAACTTACCATTAATACTAAGTAGGTGCAGGAGTACTAAACGAGGAATCTCTAATTCCTCTAAGGAGTACTAAATGAGGAATCTCTAAGACTTCTAATTCTATGACCCATGTCTATTTTTGTATCTATGTTACACTTGGCTTAAAACATTTACTGGAAGAAAAGATTTATAATTCTGTGTGTGCTGCAAATTAGCATATTACTACTTGCATTACATACACACACACACACACACACACACAGACACTTTCCTTTTAAGGGCTCTTAGCTTTCTCATCGAGAAAATGAAGGTGTTGAACTCTATTAATGTTATGTACCTATCTGAAGTTTCTATCTCTCATTGATCAAATGATAATATTTAATGATAACCTACTTTTAAAGTGAAGACTTTGACTCATAGATGGGGATACATCTTTTGATGTGAGATGCCTAAAGTCAAAGGAAAAGGGGTTTGTGAGATTCCTGACTGTTTTGTGACGAGATTATACAGGGAATCCCAGAAGGATGATGGGATCTTAGGCAGGAAGTTCTAACTGGGAGACACTCTAGTGAATCAAAGTGTTTCGTGATGTGAAATTTCAGAGATAAGAAAAAATTTCACAGATAAGAAAATATAGCACTCCGAGTACAGCTTCTCTATATTTGCATACAATACAAGTAATTAGGAAAAGTTCAGAATACAGTCTTTGTTGTCCCCAAACTCTTCAGCCAGCTTGGTGACCCTGCCTAGGTACTAGTCTTCATTTCCAAGGGGATGAATGAGATAAAACAATGACAGAGAATTCAGTCCACAGTGTGAAGGCATTGTGAATCCTGACTTATCCTGATGACAATTTCATCTTCCAGAAGGAAAAGGAAGCATGGGGTGGGGAGGCAGGGGGTGGGAGGGTGGCGGGGCAAATGGACTTAATTCCAAACACTGAAGAATCAGGAAGAAAGTGACATACCATGGAGGAGTTTCCCTTACAGATTAGAAAACAGAAGTGATCCACACATTTCCCTGGTAAATCTTTCTGGACTGATAATCGACATTCCATTTTTTTCTCCTCCAACGCTCAAATTTCCAGGATATTCCTCAACAGCACTTGCATCACGAATGTGCTGAGCACCAATCAGAATGAATGTAAAGGGCCTGCAAAATGAGACTATTCTGTGTTCCCGGAGAATCTGAACCCAGAGTCCCAACGTGCGGCCAGTTCAATCAGAAATCTCACTTGTGTGCGCACATCCTGACACCTGCCCCACCTCTGCTGTAGATTCTCAGCAGCCCTGTCTTCCACCTCAAAAGTATTCTTAAGACCTAGTCATGAAGCTTTGTCTCTGGAGGCTTGTAATTGAAAAGGGCACAGAGTGCTCGTTACCAGACCCCTGGTGCCAGAGCATTTGAGGAGTGAACCATGGAGACGAACTTTAATTACAACTCCCCGCAGTGGGCTCACCTGTTTTGCTGTTTCAGTGAGGGCAGCAGCCTCAGCCTTGCCCAGTTGTTGCACCATCTTATAAAACAGGCTGTCTCTATTTTGCAGCAAAACATATGGCTCATCATATTCTTTCAGTCTCCCTGAATCCAAAACCTGTAGATCAGCAGAAAGAAAGCATTAGCACACAATGTTTTGCAGTAACGTATTATAATGCAGACAATATTTCGGAAAGGGGTAGGACAGGGAGAACAGAGAGTCTGTTTGGGTGGTAGGACTGGCTGGTGTTTAAATGGTTTGATTACCCTGTTTTACTAGGCAGACAAAGGCCTAACCCGACCTTTTATTATTATAATGTTAAAGGAAGAAAATGAAAGTTTCAGACTATGATTACTTGCACTCGGCATATTATACTCTGCCCCATGGGGTTGTTATCATTAGTAAGTGCTTTCAGCTCTCAGACTCTGAGCTTTGAAGGCTGTTTATACAGATTCACAGAGTTGGAAAATTTCTTGATTCAAGAAAATCAAACTCAATCTAGCCACAAAGTAGGTTGATATCATATAAACTGATGGCAGTGACCTGACAGCAAATTAACTCCAAGTTGGTTTCACAGAATCCGAGCAACATTTGAGGCCAGAAAGTAAATGCTTCTGGAATTTCTTTAGGTTCCTGGAATATTTCAGGTGCTGACTTTGGCTGTAGCTTATTGCTCTGAGTGAAAAAGGCTGGCAAAAAGAGCTGCTACCACAACAGCTTTAGCTGAATTGCTCAACACAGAAACAAATCTCTAGAAATCCAATTTTCTCTTTGGATGAGACTAAAGAAGCAATTAACAAACTGAGCTCCAAATTCCAGTCATCACTGCATGCACAGCACATGAGGACAACCCAATCCAAATTCCCAAGCATCTGAATTTGTTGTCTCAAATGATCTTTCCTTGCTTCTTGTTCTTTCTTCAGCTGCCTGCCTTTCAGGCATTTTATTGCTCATTAATATGTCCACTAATTAGAAACTGAAAGGTAGAGGAAGGGGCTCTTAACTCTGCCTTTCTGCTTATTAGTGTCTTTGCTTAATGGTTTCAGAGGGAAGGAAGAGTCTGAAGCCATTGGCCCAAATGACGTACCTAGGAAAACAGTTCTGATGTTAAGTGGTACTTAGTTCTTCATTTAGGTCATATTTAGGGTAAATGCATCTTCGGAGAATATGCTGAGACACTAAGCAGGACACAGGTTGTTTTTCCACATCTAGGTATTGCAGTTAACTCTGTCCCAGGGTATTTTATTAAGTCTCATAAAGGCCATTTTCCTGTTAAACTTTTGTTTACTACTGGGAATCCCTACTAAGAGCAAACCTCACAAGAGTTCAAAAATAAATGAATCTGTTACATCTACATAATTATTAAAATGTCCTATAATTTGACATGCCAATTTATATGCCCTGAATGTGTAATTTTACTTAAGTATAGCATTATAGAGCATAACCATTCTTCCTGATGCTGAAGAAAAAAAACGCAATTTTAAAACATAGGTCTCTCTCATGTCAGAGACTAAGTATACATATCAAATTACTTCATACAATGAAGAGCTTCACATTCTTCAAAAGCCACAACTTTTAAAAATCACCACCTCTGAGTTGGTAGAAATGAGTTCTCTGACTATAAAAACTGTATATGTTTCAATGGAAATCAGTAATAAATATTTTTCAAACTTTCTACTTTATTCAAATTTGAATGAATACTAAATCTTTTCATTTTCTTTCATATTGTCTAAAACCCATGATATCACTGAGATAGTAGTTCTCAGTACTGATCAATATTTAAAAACAGAAAAGGCAGAAAAAAACCAATGCAAAAAGCAATAGGATTAACAATATAAAAGGCAGAAACATCTATTTGACCCTTAAAAGTATTAGCAATGAAATGATCGTGCATAAGGGCAGTTTTTTTTTTGTGGGTGGTGACAAATTCAAGTGGACATGCGACAGTAGCTCCTGGTTTTCAGTTACCAGGAAAACCTTACTAAAACAAGGTTTGAATTGATGAAGAAAAGCAAAGAATATAAAAACCATAAGATTGCCTACAAATAGAAAAGGTGGGATCCGAGTTTCTTGGCTCTTGTTTTTGGTCCTTCATCATAGATTTCCAAAAAATTTTCTAACTGCAGATACTGAAAATATTGAACATGGGCAACAATACTGTTTCATATGCCGACTTTGCTCCTGTTACCAGGGGGAATCTGGGGTGATATGAAGACTGGAGTGTGCAAGGACTGGAGGGAAAAGCTGTGCTACTGGCTGAAGACAAAACAGGACACAAGCAACCAGCTAATCCTAAACAGTACAGGAAGGAGCCTTTAATGTAGAGATAGTGCTGAGTCTTAGAAGAAAGAGGATTTCTCATTTGTCTGTCTTGCTCCACTGTTTTTCGACAACAGAGAAAGTAAGGAAGATTACATTAGCCGTCATTATGACTCCATCATGTTTAATAAACTTAAAATTGAGAGAACATCTTTGTAAAATAGAATTCTTAGCCTAACACATTAATGGTGCTTAATGAACCAAAACTGGGTAAATCCCTTTGGAGAGTCAACACATAAACAAAGCTATTAATTAGGTCACAGCTGTTTCCCAACAAGCCTTCTGCTTGATGTACTTACGTAAAGTAAACAAAACCATATCCATCGGTCTTTGTGCAGAAGTATTCACCAGTGCAACAAAATGTGATTATTACACCGTAAGCGCTTGTAATTACATGACTTTATGATGACAACACTGTTGGCTCTGCCCTTCATCAGCATCTGTCACTTCCCCAGCCCCTCCCCGACAGAGGCTGGCCTCCCGCACTCTGGAGCACTGGGCTTTGTAGCAGATTGACTTGTCTTTATGTCCACATGAAAGCTTTAGGAACACTTTCTGGAAAGGAATGCTTTCTGCAAAGGATACAGGTGGGGGCATCCCTCAGAGAATTATGGGGTTCATTTCTAGAACACCATGAAGATGTGAGTATCACGATAAAGTGAGGCACTCTAATATTCTGGTTTCCCAGGGTGTATAGAAGTTATGGTCACACTACACTGTAGCCTAGCAAGTCTGCAACAGCATTAAGTCTGCCTTAATTTAAAAATATTTCATTGCCAAAAACCTGCTAACCATCATTGGGGCCTTCAGGAAGAGAGACTAATAACATCAAAGATCAGCGATCACAGATCACCATAACAAATACGATAGTGAAAAGTAGTGAATATGAAATAGAGGTGAGAGTTACCAAAAGGTGACACAGAGACATGGAGAAATAAGCACATGCAATTGGAAAACTCGATAGACTCAATAGACTTTCTCGACTTAGGGTTACCACAGACTATCAATTTGTAAAAACTATAACATCTGGGAAGCACAGTTAAACAAAGTATGCCTATATTTCTAAATCACACAAGAAAAAAACTGTCTCAAAAATGAAAGCTTTGAGAAAGAACATTATTCATGGTGTTTCTTTTTTTGCCAAATTGAAAAGTTGACTGGTAATCAGAAGTTCTAGAACAAAACACAAGGTTTAAATCTGGGGTGGGTGGAGCACAGAGGACAATTCCCCACCTCTGAAGCTGCAGTATGCACATCTCTTAGCTTCCATGAGGTCTAATCCTGCCTTTCCTACCAGAAGAGTCAGCAACTGCAACCAGCTCAGACCAAGATGTAAACAAGTGGCCAAGTTTACATTTCCCTGTAGGACCTCCCCGTCACATCACTGATGACCCAACCAGGGAGCGCTAAGCTGAAGGTCACCCAACACAGGAGTGGGAAGGGGAGTTCCACAGTGAAGGGCATGGTCAACCACAGGAAACAAGTCCAGTCATTGCAAAGGTGAGAGGCTTCAAAGAGAACCCTCGTGTTTCCCTTCTCCCTCTGTCTTCCCCATTCAGCCACATGCTCAGTCTCCACACCCAGACACCAGCATCAACGCCTTTCTCTTTCCTCAGATCCCAGGTTCCATCCATCACACAGTCCACTTGGCTCCATGTCCTTCTAGATCCCAAATCCAACCATCTCATCATTTCCACTGCTACCACCTTAGCCTAAGCTGCCAATTTTAGAAAGAGAGGGCAAATTTATGAGAGCAATGTCTGGAGATCTAACCTAGATAGTTGCTAGCTAACACAATTAGCACAGTGTATCTTTTATTTTTCCATGCCTCCAATTCCTATGTAATAAAATTTCCTAAATTAAATGCTTTTTCTTGAAATGCTTCCTTTTACTCACTAGGCCTTTTCTTCTCAAAGACTCCCCTCAGAAAATCTTGTGAATATTCCAAAAGCTGAGAAATTCTCCAACCTAACCTGACAACTTCTAGGCAGTCTAAATGAAAGGCTAATTTTATGATTAAGGGAATCTAAAAATCCAGGAAAAAAAATCTGTGACATAGGGGAAACGATTGTGTTCTTGAACACTGAAATTTGAAGCCTCGCCTAGCATTTGAATTATTTTTCTGGTTTTTCATCTTAATGAAAAATAACAATTCAAACAAACTTTTAATATGAAAATATGAAATTACTAGATATATTATTTAATAGCACATTCTAAAAGTGTGGGTCCATACAGAGTTACTTTCAAGAATAAGAGGAAAAACTAACTGGACATTACTATCATGTTTTACATGGAAAGATACATTGAAAAATGGAACATAAGTGGAAATAACTGAAATAACACAGGAGAGTGTCTTACCATTATCTTGTCGCTATCAATAATAGTATTCAATCTGTGTGCTATGGTTAGCACAGTGCAGTGGGCAAATTTCTCACGGATTTTTTTTTGTATTAACTCATCAGTTCTAGAAACAAAGAAGTTGAATTTATTATTCAGTAAAGACTTAGAGCAGACTTCAGAAAAAATTACCATATAATATTTTCATAAGACTTTTAAAAATCAATATTTTAAGACATAATCTTGCTCATCAAAAACTAAGTAGAAAAAAGTCTCTTTAAAAGACTTTTTATAAAACAATGTAAAACAGTCTTCCTTAGAAATTTCCTGAAACTATCAGGAGCTGGATTAGAAATCAAGCTCTCTTAGGATGCCTCATAACGACACTAACACATGTTTTGGTTTCTTTCTCTGTTTTCTAAAATTAATGTGATCAAGAGATAAATGTGGACAAAAGAGAGCACTTTGAACATTTTCAGCAACATTAATTTTTTTTCCTTTTACCACATTTAAATTTCACATTTCAATTTCATGGGAAATTGTACCTTGGATCCACATTGGCCGTGGCTTCGTCAATAATCAATATCCGATTTTTCCTGAGGATAGCCCTGGCAAGGCACACCAGTTGTCTCTGTCCAACACTAAAGTTTGATCCGGATTCTGCTAATTCAGTATCCATTTTACCAGGAAGATCTTCGATGGCTTCCTTCAATTGCACCTGTGGATACAGAAAGAAGAAGGGCATTTCCTAAAGGAACTACTACTAAAGGAGACAAGCTTCTTAGACATTAGTGCTCTGAGGTCATCAGGACTTCTTACAGGTCTTACATGTACAGCCACGTGATGGGGAGAGCTCCTTCATATCAGCAAGGAAGACAGAGGAGTCAGTGAAGGACAGAAAGGTCTCAGTGACCCATCCCTGCCACAGGACACCTACTGGAAACCTCACCTAGGAATTAGTTCAGAAAGTCTCTCAAAAAATGAAGCTATTTCTCCCAGTGTGATCTAAACAGGATCTTTATAGCTGACTCAAATTTCCCAAACTACATTCTGCAATGGGGTCAGGACTCAACAGAGAGAAAAAAAATTTTAATTCCTGCAGGAAGTATGGTTTTCTAAAGACATAATCATATGAAGAATTCATTTTGGAAGGTCTGAAAGTTAAAAAAAAAAAATTCAAACAATGACTAACTGTACAGCTGTAAACTGTAAGCCTATTCAGGGGGTTTCTTTCCCAAGTTTCACGCTATACTACTAGGCGACTCAAGGCTTTTAACTTCAATGTCATGAAAGTTTCATAGTGAATGAAACCTTGTGAAACACAAGACACAACATAACATTTGATTTCCCCAGCCTATGGGAGTGGATAGTGTTTAATCTATATAAGATTAATCAGTATTACAAAATTAAAAAGAAAAAAAAAAAACTGCCAAAGATATGCTGCTTTCAGAAACTAGAATTATTGGCAGGAATTTGTGGCACCTCAGAATCAAACTGCTCAGAATCCAAACCCATCAGTATAAATTGCAGGTTTCAGAGCTTGGAAGAGGGACACTAAATGACAAAAGGTACAAATTCAAAACAACAATGTGAGCAATTGGTCACTGGGATTTGTACAACAATGACAAAAACACGATTTTTTAAAGGAAATAAGCCACACTTTTCTGAAATGATCAAGCAATTGTTCAGTAAGTATTTCTTAAGTGCTTACTTTTTAAAAGAAAAAGAGACTAGATCACATGAGGAATTAAGAACCTTTGTATGGTTTAGAAACCTAGAGAGTTTCTGCCATAATTAGAATCAATTTTAGAACTAGGGCAAATATACAAAATAATTAGTATTAAAATATACAAACCATTAGCACTCTTAACAGTCAAAATCTTTTTCATGCAAGGGTAAGGAAATCCAAGGAAGTGGTGGAAAGTCAAACATAAATAATAGAAAATCCTCTAGAAATGAACATATCCATATAAAAACTGAGCAAAAGCACCAGGCTTCTTCTCTTACCTGTATTCACAATGCAGCATTAAAATGACATGACTGCCAATAAATAATTATTATCACAATCCAAATGTGTAATTTACAATTCTGAAAAGTTTTCTGAAACTTCACAGCATTTTATTACCATGATTTCATTTATCTTTCAGTTAATAATGAAAAACTATTATTGCGTACACTGAGTAGATGTTACCTGAGAACAGAGGAATAAAATGAATGTTGCAGGGTTCAGTTCAGTCGCTCAGTTGTGTCTGACTCTTTGCGACCCCATGGACTGCAGCATGCCAGGCCTCCCTGTCCATCACCAACTCCTGGAGTTTACTCAAACTCATGTCCATTGAGTCAGCCCCTTCTCCTCCTGCCTTCAATCTTTCCCAGCATCACAGTCTTTTCAAATGAGTCAGCTCTTCGCATGAGGTGACCAAAGTACTGGAGTCTCAGCTTCAGCATCAGTCCTTCCAATGAACACCCAGGACTGATCTCCTTTAGGATGGACTGGTTGGATTTCCGTGCAGTTTAAGGGACTCTCAAGAGTCTTCTCCAACACCACACTTCAAAAACGCCAATTCTTTGGCACTCAGCTATCCTTACAGTCCAATTGTAACATCCATACATGACTACTAGAAAAACCATAGCCTTGACTAGATGGACCTTTGTTGGCAAAGTAGTGTCTCTGCTTTTTAATATGCTGTCTAGGTTGGTCATAACTTTTCTTCCAAGGAGTAAGTGTGTTTTAATTTCATGGCTGCAGTCACCAACTGCAGTGATTTTGGAGCCCCCCAAAATAAAACTGTTTCCACTGTTTCCCCATCTATTTGCCATGAAGTGATGAGACCGGATGCCATGATCTTAGTTTTCTGAATGTTGAGCTTTAAGCCAACTTTTTCACTCTCCTTTCATCAAGAGGCTCTTTAGTTCTTCTTCACTTTCTGTCATAAGTGTGGTGTCACCTGCGTATCTGAGGTTCTTGATATTTCTCCCAGCAATCTTGATTCCAGCTTGTGCTTCTTCCAGCCCAGTGTTTCCCATGATGTACTCTGTATAGAATTTAAATAAGCAGGGTGACAATATACAGCCTTGACGTACTCCTTTTCCTATTTGGAACCAGTCTGTTGTTCCATGTCCAGTTCTAACTGTTGTTTCTTGATCTGCAAATAGATTTCTCAGGAGGCAGGTAAGGTGGTCTGGTATTCTCATCTCCTTCAGAATTTTCCAGAGTCTGTTGTGATCCACACAGCCAAAGGCTTTGGCATAGTCAATAAAGCACAAATAGATGTTTTTCTGGAACTCTCTTGCTTTTTCGATGATCCAGCAGATATTGGCAATTTGATCTCTGGTTCCTCTGTCTTTTCTAAAACCAGCTTAAACATCTGGAAGTTCACTGTTTACGTATTGCTGAAGCCTGGCTTGCAGAATTTTGAGCACTACTTTATTAGCGTGTGAGATGAGTGCAACTGTATGGTAGTTTGAGTATTCTTTGGCATTGCCTTTCTTTGGGATTGGAATGAAAACTGACCTTTTCCAGTCCTGTGGCCACTGCTGAGTTTTCCAAATTTGTTGGCATATTGAGTGCAGCACTTTCACAGCATCATCTTTCAGGACTTGAAATAGCTCAACTGGAATTCTATCACCTCTGGTAGCTTTGTTCATAGTGATGCTTCCTAAGGCTCACTCGACTTCACATTCCAGGATGTCTGGCTCTAGGTGAGTGATCGCACCATCGTGATTATCTGGGTCGTGAAGATCTTTTTTGTACAGTTCCTCTGTGTATTCTTGCCCCTTCTTCTTAATATCTTCTGCTTCTATTAGGTCCATACCATCTCTGTCCTTTATTCAGCCCCTCTTTGCATGAAATATTCCCTTGGTGTCTCTAATTTTCCTGAAGAGATCTCTAGTCTTTCCTATTCTATTGCTTTCCTCTATTTCTTTGCACTGATCACTGAGGAAGGTTTTCTTATCTCTCCTTGCTATTTTCTGGAACTCTGCATTCAAATGGGTATATTTTTCTTTTTCTCCTTTGCTTTTTGCTTCTCTTCTTTTCTCAGCTATTTGTAAGCCCTCCTCAGACAGCTATTTTGCTTTTTTACATTCCTTTTTCTTGGGGATGGTGTTGATCCCTGTCTCCTGTACAATGTCATGAACCTCCATCCAGAGTTCATCACGCACTCCGTCTATCAGATCTAGTCCCTTAAATCTCTTTCTCACTTCTACTGTATAATCATAGGGATTTGATTTAGGTCATACCTGAATGGTCTAGTGGTTTTCCCTACTTTCCTCAATTTCATTCTGAATTTGGCAATAAGGAGTTCATGATCTGAGCCACAGTCGGCTCCAGGTCTTGTATAGGCTTCTCTGTCTTTGGCTGCAAAGAATATAATCAATCTGATTTCAGTGTTAGCCATCTGGTGATGTCCATGTGTACAGTCTTCTCTTGCGTTGTTGTAAGAGGGTGTTTGCTATGACCACTGCGTTCTCTTGGCAAAACTCTATTAGCCTTTGCCCTGCTTCATTACGTACTCCAAGGCTAAATTTGCCTGTTACTCCAGGTGTATCTTGACTTCCTACTTTTGCATTCCAGTCCCCTATCATGAAAAGAACATCTTTTTGGGGTGTTAGTTCTAGAAGACCTTGTAGGTCTTCACAGAACTGTTCAACTTCAGTTTTTTCAGCATTACTGGTTGGGGCATAGACTTGGATATTACTGTGATATTTAATGGTTTGCCTTGGAGACAAACAGAGATCATTCTGTCGTTTTTGACATTCATCCCAGTACTGCATTTCGGACTCTTTTGTTGACCATGATGGCCACTCCATTTCTTCTAAGGGATTCCTGCCCACAGTAGTAGATATAATGGTCATCTGAGATAAATTCACCCATTCCAGTCCATATTAGTTCGCTGATTCCTAAAATGTTGACGTTCACCCTTGCCATCTCCTGTTTGACCACTTCCAATTTGTCTTGATTCATGGACCTAACATTCCAGGTTCCTATGCAATACTGCTCTTAATAGCATCGGACCTTGCTTCTATCACCAGTCACATCCACAACTGGGTGTTGTTTTTGCTTTGGCTCCGTCTCTTCATTCTTTCTGGAGTTATTTCTCCACTGATCTCTTGTAGCATACTGCAGGGTAGTTAGGATATTAATTCATTAGGTCACTAGTAAAATTTGAACCCCTAATGTTACCTTCTAGTTCAGTGCTCTGCTAAGGACAAAACCATGTTATCTAGCTGCTTTGGGTTCTAGGGAGAAAGCCAAAGAGTGTGAGGCATTATACTGCTGGTTTTTATTATCATCAATACCCACATTTTAAGTGCACCAATGTGATCAATGTTCTCCTATGAGGTAAACAAAGTCTGTTAAACTGATAGGCTGCCATTAATTACCTGCAATGCTACAAACGTACACACATAGGAACTGATGTTAACACGTTAATTACATTCCATAAAGTACCTCTTCTAAGGCATTCCACAGTTCCTCATCTGAATGCTCATTGAAGGGATCCAGATTCTTCCTCATTGTTCCAGTGAATAAAACAGGTTCCTATATACCCCAAAATAGGAAATGTTATTTCTGTAAACTATTTTCATCTTACACAAATGCTTATAGAAAGTAATTTAAATTACAAAAACCCCCAACATTCATTATAATCATTAATAAAAAGGTTAGGGGACCTTCGCTGTGTGACATGGCAGGAGGGCTTAGTTGCTCCATGCCATATGGGATTCTAGTTATTAAAGTGCAGATGAAAACTACGTCCCCTGCATTATAAGGCAGATTCTTAACCCTGGGCCCACCAAGAGGTGTTTGTTTTGATGAAGTGTTATCTCCTTTTCACATTATACTCTAGAGTCATTACTTAAGCTAATCTATGGAATAAATTGGTTTTGAAAGACAAAGACTTTTTGGATGTGCCTGGTGGTCCAGTGGCCAAGACTCAGCACTCCCAATGCGGGGGGTGGGGGGTAGGGGGGCAGGGTTCAATCCCTGGTCAGGGAAATAGAGTCTCACATGCTGCAACTAAGGATCCTAAGTGCTGCAACAGAGCCACGGCACAGCCAAATAGAATAAATAAATACTACTTTTTAAAAAAAGACAGACCTTCCTTCCTTCCTTGAGCAATAAAAGGTCCCACAGGATAAACACATTTGGGAATGGTGGTTTGGGTGGTTCAGGAGAACAGGAACGGGGACCCCACTTAAAGTTCAATCACAGATTTTGTAATAAGGGCCTCACTGCATTGTTACTTCCTTCAGCAACTTCTCTTTGGAAATCTTGTTGAAGTGAATGAGTCTCTCCAAAGACTAGGGGACTAAAACGAGATTCTTTGCAGAAAGGAGGATCTTTCACTTTTGAATCCTCGACCAAGGCCTGTAGATGATTTATGCTAAGTGTTAAATGGAGCCTTCAGACACTCTATAGGCCTTAGGGGGATTCTGCTAATTATCACCAATCCACTGTTGATTGTCCCAAAAAGAAAAGAAATTAACCATCTCACAATGCTATAAGGGTGCTCACCTAAGTCTATACTGTCACTCTCAGAGGATATACTTGGCAGCATCTATTGTTTATTTAGCAGCAATGGATGAAAGATAATCATTTTATACCGAAGAATATTTCTCTTTGCTATGACATGTCAAAAACATATTTCAAAATCAGTAAACTTTCAATCAAAACTTGTGGAATGAAATGGATGATGTACCAAAACATTAACTGATTGAAGCTATAAAGATAGCAGGCAATTTGTGAACAGTGTCCGTTTTAATATGTCAATGCATTTTATGTGTGGCGATCATCTTAGTTTCTACTCACTCTACTTTCATCCACTTGCCAAATACGAAACCATTACATTATCTTCAAAAGGTAACAACAGTGCTCACAGTAGACACATACTCCGAGGGCAGACGAGGGTCAGATTAATGATCATTTCTGACAGATATTATTCTTAAAGTACCCACTTATAACCAACAAAGTTAATAATCATATAAATAAGTGTTGTAAAACTGTTCTGCAGGCAGAACACTTCAGTGTAGAGATTTATGGTAGGACCTACAAGCTTCATGTAAATATACACTAAATTTATTAGGCTAAGAATCTTTTTTCTGAAGGCACAGAAATAAATGTCACTTAATAAAAGGTACAGGAGGGACCTAGGGGGCTGCCTGGCCTGCCAGCCCCAGAGATGGTCGTCAGGAAGAAACGCACAGCTGGCTGTTCTCTCCAGCCATGGCAGGGGAGGGGCACTGGCCCCTCAATAAACTTGTCTGTTTTCCTCTTTGAGTAAAAAAAAAATAAAATAAAATAAAAGGTAGCTGGCACAGTACAGCTGAAGAACAAACACTCTTGTACAACGTAGTACTTTAAATGAAGCATCGGTTTCCAATCTGTTTTTCATCAAGGTTTAAAGTCAGATGTAATCCTTTGTGCCATATTCAATAGTAACTTTTTCCTTTGTTATGAATATGACACGAGTTCATATTAGCTGTGTGACCCAAAAATGGCCACGCTGAATCACAGCATTTAGTCTGGTAAATTGATAATCCCTTGACACAACCGAAAGACTAAAGAACGGCAGTCTTAAGGGACCTTTTAGTATAGGCTGCTGGAAGAAAAGACTCCTGTTATCCTACAAAGAAACCCTACCTACTAACCTTCTGATGCTTAAAATGACCTGGGACCAAGACAAAAAGTGTACAAATGGTTACAAACAAGGCAAATGAAGCAGAATAATTTCAGTCCCAAACTAGGAATATCATGAATAGCTACCACTAAGAAATTAACACGACACTGTAAATTAACAATTGTTGTGGTTTAGTCACTAAATCGTGTCTGACTCTTTCACCACCCCACAAACTGTAACTTGCCAGGCTACACTGTCCATGGAATTCTCCAGGCAAGAATACTGGAGTGGGTTGCCATCTCCCCCTCCAGGGGATCTTTACAACCTAGGGATTGAACCCACATCTCCTACATTGGCAGGCAGATTCTTTACCACACTGAGCCACCAGAGAAGCTCCATAAATCAACTATACTTCAATTTTTGAAAAAAAGTGTCTACTGCTGCCGTTTCCTGGTGTCCTATTCTCCTTTCGAGTCTGAGGACTTTTCATAAGTGGAAATTCATCTCCCTGTTTCAAGAATAAGAGAAGCACCTGAAGTCACTTTAAATTTTGGTACCCTCATCTTTTAATTTTTTTTTTTAAGATCCTGTAGCCTCTGAATGAACTAATCATCATCCATATTCAGAAGAAAAGGACATTGTTTGCCAACAAAGGAAGAAGAATTTAAGTCAGGTAAAGTTCTCTTTCAGGGGCCCCAGGGAGCAGTTCCAAGAAGACTTCAGTGTCAGAAACAAAGGGCCGACTACCTTAGGCTAGAATCCAGTTGTATTTCTTTACTAGTAACAGCATATCCAACTTTTCTCTTTCAGTTTTATTCTCAACAAGATAAAAGGGGAAAGAAAACCAGGTAATCATGGAGAAGTCAGAGACAGCTCTGGTTCACCTTCCTCAACTTACTGACAAAAACGCAAGGAACAGAAATACCAAACGAGCAGAGGGGGCCGTTTAAAAAATACCAAGCTTTTGCTTTGCTATCTCTATAGAGAAAAACTATTAAATATAAGAAGTGACTCTAATCATAATTAAGATGATGGCTGCTGATCTGTGCCGACCTCTGGGCTATAGTCATAAACACTGAATTCACATGGAATCCCTCTTCAATAGAAAACACTTCCCTTGTGCCATAAATTTCCTTGTGCCATTTTCTCCAGGTGCAGAGAAGCATCCAAAGAGGCTCATATTAGCGATTAGACTCGGGGTAACTTATTAATCTTCGCAAGACTCAGTTTCCTTACTGGCAAATGGGGCTAACGTTGCAAGGCTGATGTGAGAAGTTTGAACAACAGTGATGCAAACAGTGACGAGGAGCCCAGCCCAACAGGGGACAAGGAGGGGCAGGATCTATCCAACTGCAATCTCAGTCAATGGATCAGAAAGTCAATTTTGTGCCTTGTGACTGTCATTCTATCTTTTATATTAGCTGGAACAGAATGGATATCCTAGATGGTTTTAAAGTCCATTTAAAAGAAGAGCAAAGCTAATCAGAAGAATGGAGAATAAAAAGCAGTGTATAGAGTAATAATGTTTTTTTAAATTTGTGTGTGTATGTGAGTGTGGACATGAAATCATGATACAAAGCAGTTCTACTGTGGACGACAGTCAACTGGGTGTTGAAGTCCTCACAGAGTGATCAGCTGCTCAGGCTCTGGAGTTGGGAATCACCGAAAATACATACGAAATTCAGGTTCTGCTGCTTACTTGCTAAGTGGGTTAAGCTCGTAGTGCCTCAGTTATCAAATCTGTCAGATAAGGATAACAAGAGAATTGTGAGGATTAAGGAGGAGAGGGTAGGGAAAGAGGCCAACATGTGTTAAGAATTCCACAAGTGTTAGGAATTATTATTAATACTGTGTAATTTGTCAGGGGCTGCAATGAAAACTAGAGCAACAGAAATGAGAGACACAAGCCATGTCTTCAAAGAGAGTAAGACAACTGTCATAAATGTGGAAAGCATTAAGAAAAATGCCAGAGGTCTCCGGGGGAGACTGCAAAGTATGACTGGGGTACAGGGTGATGGTCAGGAAAGAACCTGGTGGGACAGGAGCCAGAAACCAAGAGAAAAAGTGATCTTCTTCCCTCTCACGCCTTGGAGAAAAGACACTACATAGATTTTTCAGTTATGCTTTTCCCTATAACTCTACTGCATTGTTTTTTAATTTTGCTTCACTCTTTAAATTTCTATAAACAATGTGGTTTAAGTTATAAGCGATAAAAGTAATGAAAATCACCAAGGACTACAAAAACATGAAAAGAAATTAAAGAAGAAAGCCTTTCCAAAATGTGTTAGTCTTTTAGAAATAACACCTGAAAGGTTAGTGCCTTCTTTCTTAAGAATACTTATAATTACTATTGGCTGACTGGTCCCAAGAATCAGCCATGGGCCGCAAACATTTTCTAACCTAAGTTACATTTTTAGTGTTAGTCACTCAGTCATGTCGAACTCTCTGCGACCCCATGAATTGAAGCCCATCAGGCTCCTCTGTCCACACGATTCTCCAGGCAAGGAAACTGGGGTGGGTAGCCAATTTCCTTCTCCAGGGGATCTTTCCAACCCAGGGATTGAACCCAGGTGTCCCGCATTGCTGGAAGATTCTTTGCTATCTGAGCTACCAGAGAACCCCACATATTTTTAAAAAGTTTTGTTTGGCTGCACCTGGTCTTTGTTATGGCATGTGGAACCTAGTTTCCTAAACGGGGATTGAACCTGAGCCCCCTGCACTGCGAGCAGAGTCTTAGCCACCGAACCACCAGGAAAGTCCTTAGTCATATCTCACAACAAATCTGTGTCACATTAGTTTCTAGACCTGGTCCAAGGACCAGGACACTGGACCTCCAGACAAGGGACTTCCTCAAGGCCCTACAGTCATATGAGACAGAGGAGGAATTAAAAGGTGGCTCATGTTGACACTCAGTCTATGCTCTATCCCTGGCTACCTCCTGAAAATCTTCTGGGACACTTTACACAAACATTCTCTTTTATCAAATAGCATTGCGCCTCAGAAACAAAGACATAGAGAGTGAAAAAATAAAGTTTTGTGTTTACAATGGTTAGTGATCATTATCTACATGGATACAAAGCTTAGCACTGTTTTGTAAGCACGCTCCCTGGAGTGGGTACACAGAGCATGCTCAAACGTAGGGTGGAAACTGATGGAACAGAACCAAAACGTGGTGATGTCAAGGGATGTTTAGTCTTTGCTCAGATGTGATTCCAAAACATTACTGGCAGAGCCAAGAATCATCTAACGTTATTTCTTTATTTATAGAGTTCTTTTATGTACACAAGCATACAACCTTTTCTTATTAAGAAGCATTAAAAGTAATACAGGGCACGTTTCTCAATCCTTTTATCCAAGGACTTAAAAGTACTTTACAGACACACCCATTAGTCTTCGAACTAATCTCACTTGGCCCATTTCAGAGATAGGTAAAATCAAAACTTAAAAGTAGGAATCTAGAAACATTTTCTACATTAATCACCAAATCTGCCACCAAGAACCGCCTGCTCTAAGTACTTCAGGTAAGAATGCACCTGCCAATACAGGAGACTTAAGAGATGCAGGTTCGAGCTCTGGGCTGGGAAGCTCCCTTGGAGGAGGGCATGGCAACCCATTCCAGTATTGCTGTCCAGAATCCATGGACAGAGAAGCCTGGCAGGCTACAGTCCATAGCATCACACAGAACTGGACATGACTGAAATGACTTAGCACGCACACACAACAGCAATGCACAAGGATTCTAATTTCTGCACATCCCTGTGAACACTTGGTTCTTTTTTATCTTAAAAATAGTTGAAATCTTTAGAGGTATGAGGTGTGGGATTTCACTGTGGTCTAAAAAGAATACCTTGATTCCAAAAGTACTTTTACTAATTCCAGGTATTTTAGAGGACAGGGGTAGGGAGAAACACTTGTATAGTGATAAAACACAAGTCCATGTTCTCCTGCCTTGGGTGCCATGTTCTACATGCTTCCTAATCACATTTCAGAGCTCATTACACCCGCATTCCAAGAAGCACATTTGCCTGGCTCTTCTCTCTTTTCTATGGTTCTCTTAAAGATATCTATTTTTCTCAGCATTCCTTGATGGTCAGATGATGATAGAGAATTTTTTTTTAATTTATTTATTTATTTATTTATTTTTATCACAACCATAGTGTATCTTTTTTTTTTTACATGTATTCCCCATCCCGGTCCCCCCTCCCACCTCCCTCTCCACCCAATCCCTCTGGGTCTTCCCAGTGCACCAGACCCGAGCACTTGTCTCATGCACCCAACCTGGGCTGGTGAACTGTTTCACCCTAGATAATATACGTGTTTCAATGCTGTTCTCTTGAAACATCCCACCCTCGCCTTCTCCCAGAGTCCACAAGTCTGTTCTATACATAGGAGTCTCTTTTTCTGTTTTGCACATAGGGTTATCGTTACCATCTTTCTAAATTCCATATATATGTGTTAGTATACTGTAATGGTCTTTATCTTTTTGGCTTACTTCGCTCTGTATAATGGGCTCCAGTTTCATCCATCTCATTAGAACTGATTCAAATGAATTCTTTTTAATGGCTGAGTAATATTCCATGGGGTATATGTACCACAGCTTCCTCATCCATTCATCTGCTGATGGGCATCTAGGTTGCTTCCATGTCCTGGCTATTATAAACAGTGCTGCGATGAACATTGGGGTACACGTGTCTCTTTCAGATCTGGTTTCCTTGGTGTGTATGCCCAGAAGTGGGATTGCTGGGTCATATGGCAGTTGTATTTCCAGCTATTTAAGAAATCTCCACACTGTTTTCCATAGTGGCTGTACTAATTTGCATTCCCACCAACAGTGTAAGAGGGTTCCCTTTTCTCCACACCCTCTCCAGCATTTATCGCTTGTAGACTTTTGGATAGCAGCCATCCTGACTGGTGTGTAATGGTACCTCATTGTGGTTTTGATTTGCATTTGATAGAGAATTTTTTTAAAATGCCAAAGATAAAAAAATAAAACCAGCAAGTTTATCATAGCAGAGGGCAGATTAAAGATGAAGGCACAGGGTCTATGTTGTCCTTGGCTATATACATGGAGGATAGTAACTGCTCAATAAACATCATCTTCATTATTTTAAGTGGATGAAGCATAAGAGCTCTACTAGGTAAATAATCAAGCACTCCTTAAAAATAATACATATTTAATTAGTTAAAAAAAAAAGGGAAGAATCAGAAACCAGGAAGAGATGGTTAATTCAATGTTACACCATCACAGAAGCCATGTCCTGGGCCTATGTGAATTGATCCACACGCACTGACCTATTTAGTCCTCACAGCAGCTCGAGGAGTTGGGACTGTTAACTGCCTTGTAAGGGAGAGAAGATGGAATTCCATGTCCTGTGCTTTTCCTCACTATTCTGTACTGCATGCCTGGTTAAAACCATTTACCAACGGCTAATTTCCAAAACTCTGCCCTGTCCATCTATACACAAGGTTATTCTCAAAGTCCTACACTTTCACAGAAAGCCTTCAACTATAAAGTTGCAGCTTATTTCCTATAGCAAAATTCCATCATTAAAACACTTAAGATGGCTGTTTTTCCCGACAGAAACCTTTCACATGTTAAACAAACTGTTTATAATTGTGTTTTCAGAATTATGTGGTTAAAAGTGGGCAAAATAGTAGTACTTGAAGCTTAAATTCAGAAATCTTATCTGGAAAAGTTATTAAATCACAAACACACAAAAGAAAGAAACTAACAACACAAAAAACCTGATACCTGAGTAAGTATCTGTGAAAATACCTATATTTAAAAATACGCTCTACTGGGGAAAAAAGAATCAACACTTTCATCCAACTAAAAAAACAAGAAATCAAAAGAAATTAAACTTAAATGGTGTATAAAAAGAATACGTGAAAATGCTCTGATGTGCATACCTGAGGTATAATTGACATTTTCTTCCTTAAATCATGAAGACCAATTTCGGTTGTCAAGATCTTATCAATCCAGATTTTACCTTCAGGCTCCGACAATCTAAAAAGGGCAGCGATGAGAGAACTTTTTCCAGCTCCTGTTCTTCCCACAATGCCAATCTGTAAAGAGATCCAGGAGGGATTAAGAACTAACAATATGCAACAAACCTAGGAAAAACCCTAGTTGTTGAACATGAATTTTAAAAGGTCTACTGAGCATAGTCTCTCAAGTCCCTCAACTGTGGCACTGTTGAGATTTGGGGTCAGGTAATTCTTTGCTGGAGAAGGGAGGCTGTCCAGAGAATTGTAGGATGGATAACAGTAGCCATGGAGTCTACCCATTCGATGACAGAAGCATGTGTCAGATGGTGGAAACCAAAAATGACAAGACATCGACAAATGTGCCATGATTAAGAACAGAATCAGGCCACAAGAAGTAAAAACTCAGAAGCTTTCCAAGTGTTCCATTAGAATTCAACTTTTACATTAGTTATATTCCTAGTGTTTCGATATTTGAACATTGAGAATTATGTGAGCAATTTTGAAGATATGTCAACAAGCCATGTCAGAAGTCTTACATACAAACAAATATTCAGAGTTCCAGATTTCTTTCAGTTAAGAGGAAGTATTCTTTGGTAGACCAACTAAATCACTTCCAGATAATAAATACAAATAATGATTTATCTTGAAACATCTTAAAATTTTAAAATGCAAGTCTCAGTGTCTTAAAAGGCAGTAACCAGTAGACAAAACACACATAATGAGGTCAACAAAAACAACAACACAAACAACACTTTCTATTTATATTGGACCTTTCATCTCAGCACTTCAAAAGACATTTTACAAACCAATTAATACTTATAATTAAACCCTCGGAAGGTAAGTGTCAAGTATCAGCCAAGTTATTAAAATCTAAGCAGAGAAATTAAGTGCATTAACAATAAGATCAAAGATTCAATATAATGCACGTAAAATGCAGATCACGAGTAAAATTTTATTGTAAAAACTGGTTAGTTGTCCAAATTCAAACATGTATGCAGAAGTTGGTCTTTTCTACCAATTAGGTGGCCAACTACAAATTTCCTGGTGGGATATATGATATTCTTTCATGTGTGCTAAGTCACTTCAGTTGTGTCTGACACTCTGTAGCCTGCCAGGCTCCTCTGTCCATGGGATTCTCCAGGTAAGAATATTGGAGTGGATTGCTGTTTCCTCCTCCAGGGTACCTTCCCAACCCAGGGATTGAACCAGCATCTCTTCATTTCTATCATTGACAGGTGGATTCTTTACCACTAGTGCCACCTGGGAAGTCGATGATATCAGCCAGGTCCAGAGGGCATAGCCAGCACCAGCAACTTGTGACCGGCAGTGATCCCCTCTGAGGGCTACTGAAGTTGGCTTTTGACAGCTGGGCTGACTTGTGATCGGCTTTATTGACGTTTGTGTTTTGTCTTCATCATCATCTCCCTCACCACCAAGCTCACACTCACAACAAAGCGGGGCGTGCTTTTCAATCACTTGTAAATAAATTTTAAAAACAGAGAAGAATCAAACCACTCTGACCACTGATTATACTAGGGTAATTTGATTTATCTTCTCATTAAATACTTCCAAAGTTTCAAACTGTAAAGACAATAATTCAATTTCAAAAATTTAACTTTAGACACATTAACAGAAAGAAAAGTGGCTTTTCTTTGTACGATATGATAAATCCTGATTTATGTAACATAGATGGGATACATTTTGCATCTAGGCAGGTCCTAGAGTATATTATATATATATACACACACACATATATAGTTCCATGTTCTGTGTACATGTAGATTTTGAACATATTGTGGACTTCGTTCCAGACCACCACAATAATGGGAATATCAAAAAATAACTCAAGTCATATGGATATTTTTCTCCCTCTGAATTTTTCTTCCTCTAAAAAACGTTAACCATCACCTGACCCCTCTTAGGGTTGGAGTAACTTCAAGAACACTGAATACAGGTCACCATGACAAGTATGATTATAATGAAAAGATTTGAAGTACTGCAGGAATTACCAAAATGTGACAGAGATATGAAGTGAGTAAATGCTATAGGAAAAATGGTGTTGCTGCTCATGCTTAATGCAGAGTTGCCGCAAACATCCCATTTGTGAAAAAACATAAACCTCCAAAGAAACAGCACTTTGAAACACAATAAAACCAGGTACGCCTCCATTTCTGGGTGTTTTAATATGTAAATCAACACACAACACAATACAGGTGAGAAGTGTGTCTGTGAAAATGTTTGTACACTTCTATGCTACTCATATTGGTGGTGGTTTAGTCACTAAGTTGTGTTCGCCTGTTGTGATCTCATGGGCCTGCCAGACTCCTCTGACCATGGGATTCTACAGGCAAGAATACTGGAGTAGATTGCCATTTCTTTCTCCAGGGGATTTCCCCAATCCAGCAATTGAACCTGGGTCTCCTGCATTGCAGGCAGGTTCTTTACTGAGTCACCAGGGAAGCCCATGCTATTAATATCAGCTATACTGAAACTGATGCATCTGTGTAAACTGGGATATTTGTAGACTTTGGGTAAATGGCCCAGATATGGCAGGGGCACTAACAGCTGCTCAGGGCTATAGGAATGCAATTTCAACACTCTAGTGAGGAAACGTAAGAACAGAACTACTCAAAGAAAACCCAGACCAGGCTATCTCTAGCATTTACTTATCAAAACTATCATCTGCAAGTCTTCCCCAGGACACCAATGGGTTTTATGAATTGCCCATGGAGAGTGCCACCAGTGTCACTGAAGTTTATACATTCCTGAAACCAAAGACATTCAGAGAAAACCTTTACAGAGGTCTTGCTCAAATGCAATGCTGAGAAAAGAGGTCTCTTTGGGCTTGAGACTCTGAATTTCTGAGAGGCTCCCAGGTGGTGTAGGTGCTGCTGGCCCTGGCAACACAGTCTGAGTTGCAAGGAATTAGAAAGCCGGGACAATCTGGGAGTGAGGGGACGGTTTGCTGAGGATTTATTATGTGAAAAGGTAGGAAACTAATATTTTTGCACGTTATAGCAAGGTCTAGTAAGCATCTGTAAAAATGTATTATCCAAGTAATAGCTCCGAGCAAGAAAAAAATAACAAACCAAAATCAATCTACCTCTAGAGCTGGAAAACACTTTAAAATGGCCCAGTACTTTCTAAAATGATCAAATCAACCACAAAATCATCTAAATGAAAAATGCAGCCTGTGTTCAGAATCTACTCAGGAAGTCTACAGTGCTATTTACCTCATTTTAGTTCTTTATTTTTACTTGCTATTTCTTCTATGAATTAGAAACCAGTGTAATACTTATTAATTTTTCCCATTCACTTCTGGGAATCGGGACAGCAGAGAAAATGAGAGAAAGAGAATTAAAGCCCCAGTTGTGCTAGGCTGGCTCAGTCCCACGTCCCCCCCACTCCCAGCTCTCAATCAACTCGAACACTAAGGGGGTGTCCTGGAGTGACGGGGGCTGGGACAGGTGAGCAGGAGGGGAGACCTGGGATGTAAAGGTGGAGTGAAATGACTTCATGAACACACTGCCCGAGTGTCATCTCCAAACACAGAAATGAAGCTAACAGTGATATTGACAGTGGACTGAGACACAGATCAAAGTCACATTACTGCAGTTTTTAATTCCCTCTCCAGACTCAATTTTCTTACATACATTTTAGAAGCTCGGATAGATCTATGATTTGGGGATTTTAAGATGGAAGAATGCACATAGCTTATGTTGTACTGCAGTTTCTTAGATAATTCATATTTTGTAGCTTTTGGCGAATTTGAGATGGGTAAATTAACAGAATTATGTATACAACAAGGAAATATGGTGGACACAATGTCTGCAAGCAAGCAAACCTCACTTCCTTCCCAATCTACCAGCCAGCTTTTGCTGTGTGACTAACTGAAGCTTCTCCCTGCATATCATTTGGGCATTAAATTGAATACTCTTTAGCATCACAAGGGTATCATTCATTAAATTACAGCTCCAGTCCACTAGATGGGTCTGTGGTGGGAAGAGTTTTTAAAGAGCAGTTAAATACCAAGTATTTAACATGATAGGTAATAGGTTATTTACGCAGTTGTGCTGTGTGTGTGTTTTGGTTACTGGTTGTTCACAACTATGTGTTACTCATTCACTTTCCCAGCGGGGAATCTCTCAGCACACTCTGTGTGCCCTGAAAAATACAATTTTGCGGGAGAACAGAGAGGAAAATAAGATGCTCTCTGATCTTTAAGAAGCACTAGGGATCTGTGAGATACAGACCCCAAATTACAAAGTGTGTCAAAGATGCCATCAATTAACTGCGGTAAAGTACAGATAACGTGACACTTACCAACTTAGCCATTTTTAGGGGGACAGTTTAGTGTGAAGCGCATTCACTTTGATTTCCCTCATGAATACTTTCCGCCTTGTAAAACTGAAACTCTGTATACATTATACAACAACAACCAATTCCCCTTGCTCAGGTCATGCACCTACCATCCAATTTTCTTTCTTATGGATCTGACTACTCTAGGAAACCTCCAATAAGTTGAATCCTACAGTGCTGGTACCTTTTATGTCTGCCTTGTATCATTAACCTGATGTCCTAAGATCGGAATTTTCTTCCTTTTTTCAGGCTGAATAATGTTTAATTGTGAGGATATACCACAGTTGTTAATCCAGTCACCTGTCACTTTCCTTAGATATAAGACACTGAGGAAGAGCTGAGTGTCTTGCAGAAGCAGACACACTAGAGTCAGCTCAGAAAACGAGGAGCCGTTCACCGGCCAGGTGACGAGGGGAAGGGTCTCTGAGGTAGAGGACAGCATGCGCAGGGGAGCTGGGAGGACACCAAGCTTCGGGAGATCCTACAGATGACCCGAGCGCAGGGAGTATGTGAACATCAGAACCTGAAGCTAGAGGGGCAGGTGGGGCACAAGGCAGGCAGGGAAGAGGTTCCTACCACCAACGCCACTCTCACTTAAGCCTCGTTCCCAAGAGCCTGCCCTGGTTCTGACGGACACACCGCGCAGGCCAACAGCAGATGTGGGTCTAAATGTTCACAGGTAAACTGTTCAAGAAGGAAGTGGCTGAAACAAACCTTTTCTTTTGATTTAATGAGCGCAGTCAGGTGCTTCAATACAAGAGGCCCATCGAGGCTGTACGAGAAGTTCACGTTGTCAAAGATGATCACGCCTTCATGGGGCCAGGACGGCAGCGGGCGTTTCTGGTGCTCCCAGGGCGCTTCTTTCTCCAGATCTGTATACTCGATCACCCTTTCTACTGAAATCATCTGAAACACAAGGCATCCCACGAGTTAGGAACAGAGGGTCTCATTAATGGATGTCAGATTATGGATGAAACTTCTTCTGTATCTTTACATCTACATTTCTATAGTTAGGAATACCTCAAGTCTTAGCATCTACAGAAAACAGAGGTACTCCCTCTAGAAAAGACAGAAGTACTAGTTTAAAGAGCATACTGATGATGTGTAACTTTTTCACTGTCTTGTAACACATTTACTATGGCTACCAGGTTCAACATTGTATCAAGACTAAAAGACCTAGATTGATTGAATACTATAACATATCCAATTTTCATATATACATTTTTTAAAATAGAAAACCTTGTCAATGAAAATAGTATATATGGATAGAAATCATTATTAATACTTTGCTATAGAGGGATCATCTGTTACAGATGAATAGAACTGGATGGTCACTACATTTCATTTTAATAATTAGCTACTTTCTACTCTATTAGAGAATGAAACAGACAAATTTCAGTTTCAACATTTTTCTCTTTTTAGGAGAAAATGAAAATATTCAAAATGGAGGCAATTTACATATTAACTAATGCCTCCTAAACAAGTATAACTCGATACCTTTGATAGTACCTTCCAAAAGAAGGGCCTCAGTAAGTTCAGGCATTCAACACATACAAGGAGACATTCTAAAATGGGGATGGTGGGGAATAACTAAATTAATTGAGCAAATAAACCTCAAAATACTAAATTCTTAAACTATTAAGTAACAAACGCAAACAAGCCTCTAAGAAATAAGCTGTATCTTCTGCAGGATGTCAGAAACTCTCTCCTACAGAGGCATGTATTAAATTTGTAGACAGCTTGTGATGAATATAAAACCAGCTGACGTGGCATACATAAGACTGAGAAAAGATGTATATATTTTATTTTAAATAAATGTTAAACAGATGCTGGAAGGATCTAACAAACCCTGTTAGCTATGATGTAAAAAAAAAGTTTTAAGAGTTTTTTTAACATAATAATTGCCTTTATGTCATTTAACGTTAAGGAAAAGGCTAAAAGGTAACATCACCATATTTTCAACTTCAGCACTTTGCCTGACGCACCACTGGAACATCCCCATGAGCATGAGGGCATAGGACAACGCCAGGCCAACCTGCCCAGCATCCAAAGCTAAATGAGGAAGAAGAAAGGAAACATTTCAGTCCTACTGTTAACCCTGAGCTGGGCTCCTTCTGTCACTGTGCCTAGACTTCTCGATAATATTTAAATCACTGGCACATAGATAGTGTTAGTTATACTTTTACTAGCTGTTGATAGAAAAAAAAAACAAAAAACAAAAAACGAGAAGAAAAAAACCACCATTATGAACACAGAAAACTATTAAAAGAGCTTATTAATCCTGACAGGGTTGACATACTCTGACAGTTATGATGTAGGGAAGGAAACACGTCATCATGCAGACTCTCGTCACTATGGTTTCAAGGATCAGCATGTGATTTCACTTTTTACGTGCAAGGGAGCCACAGTTGGAAACCACGAAAAACAAGTCAATTGGTTCTAAGAGCCAGTGCTTTTAAATCTAAAATACTGCTGTTGTTGTTCCCTTATTAAACCCAATGATTCACTGTTGTTACTATGGAATAGTAATTCACAATAGGGATGGTGAATGCATGCCATGCACACCAACACCACCTGCTCATTTGGTATCCACACCGCAGTGAGGATGGTGTTCTTTCCTACAGAGAATGTTTCTCACCACAGTACACCAGGCATCAATAACCAAGAGATCCGAGCAGTCCTAAAGCCACAAGCTGGACAAAAAGCTAACAGTAAACTGGTTTCTCTCCTCCCAACCTAAAATGCTATCAGTAATGTTCAGAAGGTCAGTTGCAAGTCTGACTTCATCCCACTGAAGACAGATTAAACGGACCAAACACATCAAGAAGTCTCACCAGAAGTCTCATCAAAACACAAATGACTTCTCTACAGGGGCCACACTGCAGGATCACATGGAGCTAACACTTTAACACAATTCATTAGAACGAAACGGTATACTAGACAAAGGGGCAAAAAGGTAAGTTAATAACTGCAAATGAAGCTGTAACTGTAATCGTACTATAAACAGTGATGCACTTACTTTTTGCCAGAATCAGGGACCCAAAGGCAACAACAATGACAAACACAGCACAGATGGCATCCAGACGCACAGCGAACCATCGGGACGTCGTCAGAAACAAGAACCAAGCCTCTGGATTTGAGGACAGAAATAAGCAGAATAAGTAAGTAGAGATATCATGTAGGCTGCTTTGAATTGGGATGGGGTCTTCTGCGCAGGTGAACTACAGAAGATTTCTACACAAGTTAGGAAAGCAGTTATAGGCTCAAGCACCTTGAGGATTGCAACAAGCTAGGTTCTGACATGACAATGTATGCGAACACAGGAATCACTCCAGGAGCCTTGCGGGAAGCAGGCACTGGAAACTTCAAGCCAAGGTTATAAAGAGAAATATGATCCTAATAATTAACATACAAAAATGGTCTCATCGTTGTGTGTCAAATGGTACTGGGCTCCAAGTGAGGCTTATCCTCTCACAAAGTTGACTGTTCCCAAGTCTATGCTGGCACAGAAATACCCTGCACTGTTTCCAGCACTGTCTGCACTTACTACAGGGCCCCACATAGTGTTAATTCCTAGGAGCCAGTATTTGAAGGACCATCAGATAACAGATCTACATGTGGCTTTCCAAATGTCATTTTATCAGTTGGACCAGGATTTTATTAATGTAGAGGAAATTCTGGGTGCCATATCTGATAATGGAGAAATTATTTTCCTTAATTCTCTGAAAAGATGAGACGCTTAGATAGCATCACCAACTCAAAGGACATGAGTTTGAGCAAACTCTGGGAGACAGTGGAGGGCAGGGAAGCCTGGCATGCTGCAGTCCGTGGGGTCGCAGAGTCGGACACAAATGACCAACTACAACATGCTCTGGAAAGAGTTGGAAAACTAACAGCCTATGGGCCAAGAATGGACACAGTTTGCTTTTTTAAATAAAGTTTTATTGGGAGATAGTCACAGCCATTTGTTGCTGTATTCTTTTTGCCTGCCTTAGTGCTATAATAGCAAAGCTGAGGAGCTGGAACAGAGACTATGTGTGTTTTTTGACACCCTCCTTAGTTTGTTTACACCCTAAGCTTGTTGACACCCTTCTTAAAGGGCCAAAGCCATAGGATGTGGTGACACTTGGAATTCAAGGCAATAAGAGGAGGAAAAGCAGGGGTGTGCCAGGGGAAGAGGGGCGCACACATGGGGAGCTGAGGAGAAGGGGTGGGGGAGGCAGGTTTACAGAGGGAGACGCAGGGCAGCATAGAGAGAGGTGTGGGCCGGCAAGGCCGCCTGAGAGGGAGGTCAGGCCTCAGAAGGCAGCACATCCCATCCTTTGAAATCATTTCCAGAATTCCACAGACCTGAGTGCAAGTCCTGGTGTGCGTCGAACAGCTCCTGAAACCTCTGTTCGGCTTTGTACGCCCGGATGGTCCAGAGGCCTTGGAGAGAAGACGATAAGTGGGAAAACACTGGGCTCCGTGCTGGGGAAGCAGAAACAGATACACAACAGAGAAAGTCAGGGAGGCTGGACGCGAGGAAACCAACTGCTTCCTGTGCTCGGCAGGTCATTCATCTTCCCAAGGGGCACACCCAGGGCTTCTTGGCAACTGCCTGGCAAAGTACCTACTGTGACCCTCAAAACTCCTCATCGCAAGATTCACTTTCATGACCCGCATATAACAGATTCCCTTCAAAGTCATCTTTGACCAAATTCAGTTTGGACCTATATTTAGACAACGCATTTCTGTACTAACTCATTCATCAAGCTCCCTCAATCTTGCCTCCCTCCCTATTCTTCCCTGACATCCCTCTAAGTAAGAACTTATAATTCACTAATTCTTGATTATCATTTTTAAACTTAATTCTCCATAAGAGTACTCACCGCACTGAATTTTGATGAATTTGTGTTGTCACCACCATAAGATTAGAAACTTAAGGGCTGGCACAGGACAGGGGTGAGATAAGTGAGGTGAGCGGACAGCCTGCCGTCTCTCGGCATCACCCCTCCACCTGCACCAGGAGTCTCTGGGCGGTCACAGAGAACCTGGGACTATACCGCCCTTGTGACCGCAGGACCCATGCAATTAAGGCATCTTCCACTCTGGGAAACTGATGGATGTTCTTATAACTGCCCTGCTGGATACTCGAGGAATCTGGAGGTCACTGTGGCATGTGACATCACATCACCCTTGTAGAATCTGACAGTGGCTTCAGTGGCCATTCTCTTTTGAGTAACTTCATGTAGGTTTGGGCCTGGTGGCAGACGACTGGCCATTTGTTTCCTACCATCTTCTCTAAGAGCCCAGTGTCCACGAGCACCAGGGTCAGGCTCCTGCCCATCAGGGAATAGGTGGCCTGCAGGCTGCTGGGCAGTGAGGACCCCATACGGTTTTCATTCCCATTGTGAACAAGGCTGTACTGTAACCTGTGACCTCTGTCAGGGATGAGCGATAACCTGTGTTGTAACAGGACATCACTTTGTTACCTGTGCATCTCCTGAAAAAGATTATTACTTCTAACATGATGCAGTTATTTTCCTTTTTAGAAAAATGATGCAATATTTTCCTTTTACTGAGTGGCTGCTCTGTGTTAGAAAGTATGTGATAAGCAAGACAAAATCGGTCCCTATCCTCATGGTGCTCACATTTGTTCTCCTTGTGCTATAATGCAAAGCTGCAACTAACACTACCAGCTCCATGTGCATTAAGGGCCACATTGACTCGTAAGGCCCCTAATATGCAATTAGTAGACTTGGTGAGAAATTCCAAGACAGAATCTACAGGATTTCAGGGTTCTGGTTAATTATAAATGAAGTCAGTCTGCACTGACATCCCAACCTGAGAGCCCTGGTACTCACTTGTAGATTCCAGGCGTTTGACATCTCGCGATGTTTCTAAGAAATATCGTCGGAGAACAAAGAAAATGATGCCAAGGGGAACCAGGGGTATGGCAATCCAAGGAATCACCGCCACTGCCACGCCCACCACACCGATCACTTGCAGAAATGTCTGAAAGAGAAAATATAGATACAGGGGCCTATTTATCCAGCATTCTCCTAAAAAATAAAATTTAATGGGTTGTTTTGTTAGCATTAAACTCCTTTTCCTCAAAGGATATGTTGGGGAAAGGTGGTCCTCGTGGTGTTTACTGTACACTTACCGTGTGTGAAACACTGGGCCAAGTATGAAGTTTCTAAGCATAAGCTCTTTTGATCTACTAAGTAGCCCTAAAGCGCAGGCAGTACCATTTGGAAAAGATGAGAGTATCTGAGGCTCAGAAAACAGAAACTATCATGAGACACTCAGCTGTCTTCCTACCACAGATGAGGAAACCGGAAGCCTCAGCTATACATGGAGGGAAAAAGAAATGGTGGGTTACAAATTCTTCTAAGTTCAGAAAAGAAAGAGACATTCAAATATTGACCTTTGAAAATTGGAATTCTTTCTTGGTTTTCTGTCCATAATGACTGTTTATGAGTGTTGCCTGCACACAGGTCTGTATATTCAAAGCGTCACATGTATTAACTCATTATTCATCACAGTAACCCTACTGAGTAACAGCATTATCTCAATTTATAGATGGAAAGCAACATCAACTTGATGTCGACTGCAAAGCATAAGTAACAGAGCCAGGGGGAGTCTGGGCGTGAGTCACTGTGATAAATTTAATCTTCCCCCAAACCTACAGCCAACTTTCTCTCATAATGCTAAAGATTCAAAGTGTCCATTTTAAGCAATTATTTGATCCAGTTTTTCACCTGAGAGAATATGGTCATTGTGGACAATGAGGAGTGATTATTTTCTTTGCAACCAATGACAACCTACACCTGGAAAGCAAAATCCATTACCCGGGTATTGTGCCATCTCAGACAGAGTTTGGGACTAACCTTCTCAAATACTACCAGGAAGGGTAAGACATTCCAATACTCTTACTCTGAGCAAAAACAGAGATATACCAACAACATAAAAACATGGTGATGGGAATTAAATGAGATAATGTTTATTAAGTGCTTACCATTTCATATATAACAAATATAAATTCTAACTTCCTTCATTGTGTTCTAGATGCAAGGAACCAGGAGAGGGGAGGACGGTGTGTTAATAGATTAATGGGCCCAAAGAATCTTAAGAATCTCATGAAGCCGGACCCTGTGACAGGAACTGCTTCATACTACCCAAGGACCTATCAGAGTACTTGCAGAACATTTCCTAAATGGAATGATGACTGTGGCTTTTTCTCTGGTCACAGAGAATATCGAATGTGAGGTCTATTTTGTTTAAAGAGGCACATTTCCAATAATATGACGACTAAACCTCATGCCTACTACAATTTCTGTCCTCTCTGTATTTCCAACTATAGGCCTTCCCAAGACTGATAACCTTAGGGAAATGGAGGGAAGCCAACATTTTTTTTTGGAAACGTAACATTTCTTATTCCATATCTTCTCTTTCTTTCAAGCTTTTGTGTGAAGACTTAACTATTAGAAAACTGCTAAGCATTTACGGGAGATCAAGGGAAAAAGTGGTGCACTTATTAATCAAAATGAATGACATTTTCTATTCTACGCAGTATGAATTGGTAGTTGACATTAAGGAAAAAAGAATTTGCAAACTTGCGAATCCTAGGAAATTCAACTGTGTCCACCCCAAGGTCAGCCTTCTTGGAGCAAGCAGCCTGGTTAGGACATCAAGATGACTAAGACTGAGGACCCTGTTGCTACCACCTGTGGAAGGGAAATCTGATGAGCACCTCTGAATGGATGCTGTCTCTGGATAGCAGCTGTTTCTGACAAAAACATAGTGGCATCTAAATAAACTGTTAACTAAGTATATAAACACAGCAGAGAAAGGGAAAAAAAAGTAATGATTTCTGAAAAATGTTAATGGCTTTGTGTAAAAAACCATTCAAAAAATGTGAAAACTAAGATAACTGCTTTATTCCTAGTGCATATGGCAAATTTTCTCATATCACTGAAGAAATTCCACCATTTCCTAGATCCAGCTGAATACCAAGTGAGTGGGGGTGATTACCTCACTCTCCAAGTTACCAATAATAGATAATTCATAAGGCTTCCCATGGTTTGCCACCTCTCCAGTATTTTACTGGCATTATATAATTTCATTCTCATATCAAATCTGAATAGGAGATTCCTGTTTAAAAAGCTCAACGAGGTATAGTAATTTGCTCAAAGTCAGAGAATGCATTCATTTTGACTCCAAGCCTGTCTTTTTAATTTCTGCCTGCTATGGTATCCCATATACAGATAAAATTCATAATAAAAAAGTTAAGATCTAAATTTCTTCCCCTATTCATCTGCATTTTCTATTTGTGTTGAATTTCTTAGGGTTACATGGGTCTCTTCCATGCAGGGGCCAGACCATGTTTCCCAGTTAATTAGGGCATCAGAGCCAGCTCAGCTCAAACAGCAGACAGATCAGGAAAAGGTGGTAAAAATGAATGCTACACATTTTAATAAATACTGTTTAATAGACACTTAAATATTTTAACAAATACTGTTTAAATAAGAAAAGTTTCATAAGCGTAAAAAGCAACCCGACTTAAATGTCATAAATACATAAATCCCAGGAACACAAAATGAGACTAAGTTTTATAAGTTCAATATATACATTTGGGTTAAAGTTTCCCCAGGAACTCTCTATGTCTACAATTAACACTATATAACACTATATTCTAATATTGCAGATTTAATGTATTCCTTTCACAAGCACAGTTTTAAATATAAGGGCCTGTTTGCCTGTTTAGCATTTAAATTCCAAATTGTTTACAGTCCTGTAGGAATTCCTAGGTATCTACCCACATTTTACTTTCAACTTAATTCCACAGTATTCTATTCCTGCTAGTCTTTGTGAAGCTTGTGCCAAAGAACATGTTTCCTATAAACAGCAGTAAAAATGTATTCTTCTTATTTTATGCAAATGAATGTCATCCATACTTTTGGCTCACTCCAGGCTTATTTGAATTCTCACTCATATTCATATTAGGCCCAATGTGAAACATGTATTTAATCATAAAGTCACTTAATAAGTACACATTACTTTTATTATTTGTGTACACTATTAAAAAATAAAATCAGGATCATTAAGACTGCTAACACCTCAGAAGACTCTCAAACCTTTGAATTTTCCTGTCAGATTCTTAAGAACTTTGTTCCAAGTGTGATAAGTACAAATCGTTCTGACTGCCTTAAACTTCTACTGATTTATATGGAAGATGTGACTCAAATGCCATAAACAAGATTCATCTCTTGGCACAAGTTTCTTCTGATTTAGGGAAAGAAACAAATGCTGCCGAGTTTTGTTCAGTAAGGTATCTGCTGACGTGGGTGTAGGAGTGATTCTATTTATTCTGGAAACATATGAGACAAAAAAATTACCTTTCAATGAAATGACTATCTCATCAATTATGTTAGCTAGGATAACACAAGATACTTGTTTTAAAATCTTGAACAGGCTACACAAAACTCTCCAAGTATTAAGAAATAAAATGTAATTTCTATGAATCAATATTCAGTACCCATCAAACACTGGATAAATATTAGTAAAGGGGAAAACGAGGAAAGCTCTTCAGTGTAAGGTCCTAAATCTATTACTGACCTAGAGTTAATAATGAGTCTGCAGGTGTTAAGTGGATATGGAATCTTGAATGTTCACGGGAGTTTAGAGACCAGCTCTGGTTTGGTTCCAGACCCTTCATTTATCTTGACCTCACCCATTCTGTTAAATCAGAAAATGATGGGAAGTTGGTGTGTCTTATCTGTATGATGAGATCCAAACACACTCTAGTATTAAGTTTTCTAAACGTGTGCTGTCCTTAGGATTCATTAACCATCCCTTTCATCCCTAATTTGACTGCCTCAGATCTTTTCTGAGGCATCCATCCTGGCTGCGAAACCTGTGTAATTCTTCAGTTAGCCCTTAATCCTGAGTCACAGCCAGCTCCACTGAAGAGTAAAGGGTGAGATTTGGTTTACAGCTCCTGAACCAACACAACAGAAACCATTAGAAAAACATAGTGCACTTTTCCTTCCTTTGTGTTCAGCAAATCTCAATGATCAATAGCTTCCTGTCTAACCTTTCTCAGGGTCTGAGCTTATTATGAAATTCGAGACACAGAGTCCATCTATTTTCTATTTTTAAAAGGGCCACCTTAACACAACTGCTGAAGCCCACATGCCCTGAAGCCCAAACAACGATGACAACGGGAAGTCTGCGCACTGCAATTAGAGAGTAGCCCCTGCTCATCACAACCAGAGAAAAGCCAGCACAGCAACGAAGACTCAGCACAGCTAAAAATAAAATAATTTAATCTGACTCAGTTCTAATGAGGTGGATAAACCTAGAGCCTATTACATAGAGTGAACTAAGTCAGAAAAAGAAAGATAAATATTATCTACTACCGCATATATACGGAATCTAGAAAAATAGTACTGAGAATTTTTTGCAGAGCAGCAATGGAGAAACAGACATGGAGAATAGACTTAAAGGAGAGATGCATGGAGAAAGTAACATGGACACTTACATTACCATATATAAAACAGAAAGCCAATGGGAATTTACTGGGTGTCTCAGGAAAACTCAAACAGGGGCTCTGTATCAACCTAGAGGGGTGGATGGGGAGGGAGATGGGAGGGAGATTCAAAAGGGAGGGGATATATGTATACCTATGGCTGATTCATGTGAGGTTTGACAGAAAACAACAAAATTCTGTAAAGCAATTATCATTCAATTAAAAAATGAATAAATTTATAAAAAATAAATGAAATAATTAAAAACTTAAAAGCCACACATTAAAAATAACCCACATAAAAGTGGAAATAAAATGTTGAACAAGGTATCTCATAAAAAAACTAAGTAAAAGAAAGCTGGAGTATCTATCTAACATGAAGTTAGGATGGACTGCGAGAAATAAAGGAAAACACTTCAAAAGAATACAGGGTCAAAACAAGAAAATTTTGTAAAGCAATTCTCCTTCAATTAAAAGATAAATT